GGGGGGATTAAGTTAAGTGGAAGAAATTACACCAAAGAGGATACACTTACTCCTTCTCTTTGGGATCCCTTTTGGCTTTCCCCCGAGAGAAATGGCTTACAGTTCGTTTAGTTTTTGGCTGCTAATGTCGTGGGGATTAAGTTCGAATCAAAGCAATGTACTGTGACTCCGTAAAATGCAGCAGGAAAAAAATAGTGAAAGAGAAAAAAAAGGAACCCCGACGAGTGCCTTAAAAAATAATTAAACAATTAAGTTTAACAAGAGCACCATAATAAAACTATTAACTGCCACCGAATGCATTTAAATTGCTTGCTTAGCGAGGAAAATGCGGGGGCGTTCTGTTTGTTGGAGTATGCGGATCCAATAACCATCAATGTCTGGCGAATGTCTGGGAGATGCCTTTGAAATTTGCTTTTCATATCGAAATAATTGTTATGCCCGAGAATAAAGTTTAAAGTGAAGGACAGCAAGCCGGGGAAGAAAATAAAAATGAAAGGAAAAGGAACCTCGCGGCGGGATGCAGTTCAATAAACTGCGAAAAAAAGGCAAAAACAAGCTTCTTGCTCTGGGAGAAAAATGAAATTGGAAATTGCATTTGTTTTTGCCTTTCTGCCTTATACATAAAGCTCTTGGCCAATCGAAGAAAGCCATTATGCCACAGCACATTGAACGCACGATAAATAACGAGAGAGCGACCCAAAGTCCAGTCTATGGCAACACAAGGGCCAAATACAATTTATTTGCAAATTGATATTTAAAGGTCAGATGGATACTAACCGGCCAAGAGCAGCTTAGGGCCATCAAAAGCATTTGGCTAATGGCGAATGCAAAAGATGCAAAGCGTAAACATATATACGTATGTTTAGAGGGCGGAGAAATTAAAATTTGTTTTTGGAAAGCTTCCAGTGAAAGGAAAATTTTGTGCTTATGACAGGGGGACATCAAAAACTTGGCACAGGATATGAATAAGAGATGGGTTGGTTGGCAAAAAGTTTCTTGAACTCGCCAAAAAGTGTACGCAGCTTATCAAAAAAACATTTCGACTGGGCCGCCTAATGAAGTTATAACCCAGACAAACCCTGACTAGATATGCAAAGCTCTTTCCTCCTCCTCCTCCTCTTTATTTTTTTTTTTTGTTACTTTTATTTTGCAATTGTGTCGCGCATTTGAATTAAGTGCAAATGACATGAGATTTTCAGGGGGAAAACAATGCGAATAGCAGCTGCCTCTTAGCAACCCCTCGACAAGCTTTTAAGCCACTTCACAGTTGTACAACAGAGTGCAGTAGCACCCACCGCTTTTCCTCTTCCTATTCCTCCCCTCGACTTTTCCCTTTGACTTGGCTCCTGGCACTCCTTTTGCTTGTTTTTCCCTCCGTTTCGGTGCAGTTTTCATTGTCTGGCTTGGTACTTTTTGAATTTATTGAAATGTTTGTTTGTCTGCAATGCTTCTGCGTTACAGAGAAAATAACTTTGTATTTTAAGATGATTCAATTAAAAGTTGTGTTCTTTTAATTAATTTTAAATGAATTATTTCCGAGTTTCGGCTTTTGATTTTACATTTCTAGGCCAAACAGAAATCTCTGTAAAGTGATTCTTTCACAAAAATACGCCCAAATTTATAGGTATAGATATAGATAGTTAATGATACAATTAATTCTAGTAATTTCCCTAGATTTTCTCTGTGTAGTTGTTGCCTGGTTGCATTGTTGCTGGTTGCTTTTCACCGCCCCCCAATTTTCCACGCCCCTCGTTTTATATTTTCTTGAATTTGTTGGATCCTGCACAGCTGCGCCTGGCGGTATGCTATGTTTTTTCTTGTTGTTATTTGCTGCATTTGTTGTCGCAAAATATTATTACTCCATTTCATTTATAAAAGTGCTGCTGCCCCCTCTCCTCGGCTTTTTCCAACTGCAATTCCATTTCATTGTCAGTGTCTCGGTTTTGTGTTTTGTGTTTTGTATTTTGTGTTTGCCTTGTCGGTTGAAGGAAGTTATTGTGTTGTTGCTGGCTTGTCATTGGCTTTAACTCCTAATCCACAGGTCACATCTGGCCCATTGATCAAAGTGTCTTTCGGTGAGGAGACAGCAAACTTATTCCGCTGCTTAAATTAAGCACCTAACACCACGCCCACAATGGCAAACAAACCAAAGCAAAGACAGCCCACGGACGACTGTCAGTTTTGCCGATGACAATTTTCAAATTTATTCTGCCATTTCTTTTGTCTTTCGTGTGTGGCAAAAAACGCCTACGGATCTTCGCGAGGGGAAAAACCATTTAAAGCGCAGACAATTTTTCAATTTCCCCACTCATACTACACACACACACGATTGACAATTGAGAATAAACAATTTTTCCGGGTTAATAAAATAGTTTTTCCTCGCCGTTACGCCCACATTGACTAATGAGGAATTTTCCTGCTCTTTAAGCCAATGGAAAAAGGTAACTGAAGCGATGGAATGGGCGCATTTGAGGCTCACATGTTTGCTTACTGTCTGCACAAACACTCGGCGAAAACTCACAAAGGCGAATTGGAATATTAAACACTTTTATTAACTTTAGCATAAAGCTTAAAGGAGCCAAAAAAGCAAGGAAAAACAAGGAGGAGTGGCATGGAAAATTCTTTCGATGAAATATTTATGGCTGGCATTTTTAATGGATTAACAGTCTCTCTTTCTCGACTTCCGTCAGCACTTAAGCCAAGAAATGCCATTTAATTTAATGTGTTTATGAAAAGCCCAGCACTTGGAGCCAAAACTAAAGAGAATCGAATTCGAATTCAATTGAATTGTAGCAGTAGTTTCTTGAGCCCATTGTCTCTTGGACTTTTCGGATATTTGGGGTGTGGCGAGCGAAAACCTTTTTGATTTGTGGCTCCAGTGAGTTTGTGTGTTTTGGAGGAAGTGCTGCTGCCTGATTTATGCGTCCAAGGAAAGTGACAACTCAATGGCTTCATTAGTGTCCTCCGATAAAGTCCTGGATAAGGAATTCGATTCGAGAAAGTGTCGGGAGTTTATTGCACTTCGACTTTTGACTTTTCCAGCAGGGGCCATGAAAAGTTGTTGCGCTCTTGTAGATAATCTCAAATTTTGGCAATAATAATTTCATGCTTATAATTTGTTCAAGTTCCCCCAATGCGGTTTTTGCCCAAAACTTTCCACACGCGACTCTCATAAATTATGAAAAGGAGTGGAGGAGGTCCTCAATCCTTTGGCCCCGTCTGAGTTCATTCTCTGTTTTTGGCCAACGACCGTCATCTCAGAAGAACTCAACTGAGCGCAGATGAAATTAGCAAATCGTCACGTAGCCAACATGAAGAGGGGAAATATTTATGGCTCGAAACAGAGAAAAAAGTTAAGAATACTTAAAAGAAAGTCGATATTTGTGTTTATGTTTTAATAATATTAAAATGAATATGCGTGTATACTGTGCGTGTGGCGGCAGAGAGCAGGCAAATAAAATACATATGCTGTAAAATAAAGAGAGCATTTAAAAAGTTAATGTCAAAATTAAAATTATTTTTTCTGTGTAGCGAAAACCTAGAGAACAAGGGTATAAAAACTGCAGAAAGCCAGGCCAAGGATTTGATGGAATGTACGCTACATGTGCGTCTGCATCCTTTTTATTTCATTTTTTGGCCATGTTAAGAGCGATGGAGGAGAAGCAAAAGACTATGGCTGCAGTTGCCTGAGCTATCTGGGTTATTGTTATTGTCCGTAATCCCAGACACAAGCACCACTCACCCACAGATACGCACATTCTCCTCGAGCAATCAACTTAATTGCTTTAGCAACTCACCCCGAGATTTTCCGGCCGCTATTCGAGGGATTCTTTTGTTTAATGAGTGAAAATTGTGCCTCCTCGTATCGCTTACCCTCCTTCCTTTTCTCCTTCGGCATTCGGCAAACATTCATTAATCGAATCCGTTGTTTTGTAACAATGTTGGGAGTTGATTTTATTGTTGCCAAGATTTATGAGCTCTCCGTGTTTTGCCCCCAAGAAGTTGGCAAACATACAAACATTGCAATGTTGGCCCCGTGCAAATATTAATTTGTTGATTATTTAGCTGGAGAAGCGGAGGGGGGGAATCGAGAACAAAAAGAGTGTCATCTTGAAGCACAGTTCTGTGCAAATATTGGTAAGAGGTTTTAGCCTTTTACCTTACCCATTATTAAAAGTGCATTAAACCTGTCCCAGAAAGACATTCCTCGGCTGCAATTGATTGGCACTACGTGTCCTTTACCTTAATTCCCCTACATTCGAATGTCATTCTGGTAAATTATTCAACCTGTCCCCCCTCTACTTATATATGTATTTCTATATATACCTGTGTCTGAGTGCTGTTATTCCGTCTGGTCAGGTGCCGGACCATCGTCAATTACCCAAACAGAGTCACAAATATTCCCTCATCATTGGGTTAGTTGGCTCTGATTGGCGCTGGCTGGCGATTCCCAACTATTCCCACTTTAGTCATATATTTCGTGGATCCTTTCAACACCTTTTGGCTTTTTGACGGCTTTATTACCGGATTGTTTGGTTGGGGAGTGTGGTTTGGGTCCATCTGCCGGCTCGCCATATTGATTATCGATTTGGGAATTGGCCTGGTCTGTTTGGCTGACTGACTTAACTTGGCTATGGGTACACCCATATACACCTGGCTGTGTGTGCATTCAATTTGGGCAACGTGTTAGCCACTTTGGCTTAGACAACACGACGGAGTTACCCGCTCTGTTTTTTGCCCGGCACGTTTGGATTTTATGGTTCATTTGTTGGCGCTTAGACGCTGGCTGGTTGCTTCGTTTAGTCCCTCGGCAGACATATATTGGAAATGTTCATTGGACAACCACCTTGAAGTTGCGGGAGCAGTGGCTTTTAGGGTAAACAACCTTTCTTTAATTCGGGGTTTTTCCAATATTCTATGCTTATACCATTTAATTTAAATAGATAAATGTGAAGCCTTACCTTTTACTAATATTTTTATCATTTTTCTATATTTTCCAGATTGAAGACGAGGGCAACCATGGCAACGATGAGACTCGCCTATTCATTCTCTCCTCGCTGGCCCAATCCCAGATGAGCCGGGTGGCCTGCATTTTGTGCGAGGAGCCGCTGCTCGTATTCGATCGCTATCCACTGGTCGATGGCTCCTTCTTCCTGAGTCCCAAGCAGCATTCCAGCGGCTGCATTGAGGTGAGTAACGATCTGTCCAAAGATCCGACCCATGTCCTATACACAGAAAATATGGTGATCTATTTTATAATAATCTTGAGGGAATTTAATTCTTCAATATATTTTTCAATAGAAAAATTAGAACAATTTTTTTATACAAATAATTTACATCTTATTACATAAAATAATTTAAATATATCCATTATTATAAAGACAAAGAAAACATTTTTTTTGAAAGTACCAAATGACTTAACGAGGTGCTTGCTACAAATATGACCTGAAATTTCTTTGCCCATCCTTAGTAATAGTTTTCTTTCCGTGTACCCATCATTTATTAAACGTCAAATGTGGCATGGCAACCTCTTCCACACCCACGACCATGCAGCTTTCACTCGCCCACGTGCCCCCGAGAACTTTCAGCTGCAATTAGCGGGGCGAACTGCTCCATCTCCTTCATTTCGAGTCGCCTCCGACCGCCAGCCACTCCTATTTTTCGTTTCTTTTTTTTCTGTATTTTCTGGGGACAGACAGGCAGACCCCGCAATTTATGACCCATTTAAGTCAGCGTAATTACGTTCAGCGCCGGAGAAAAACTGCAGTTTGCAGTTTGCACATTTTGCATTTCATATATAGAGGTACTGCACGCACGACCTACGTTTCCATGGGCTTTATATTTTCCCTGTTTTCCCTGCTTTTTCCCTAGCTGCCTGTCAGTCTCGCTTGAGCCCCTCGCTCTTTTCCCCACCAACTTCTGGGGGCTTTAAATTAAGCCTGGATTTATAATTCATTGCCAGCTGCTGCTGCTGCTGCTGTTGCTGCAATCGGAATTGGCTCCTTTGTATATGCCTCTTCTCCCTTGACTTTGACTTCTTCTCGGTTGTGGTACTCCTCCGATTCTCCGGTCTTCTGTTCGTGGGCGGCCAACAGCAATCTCCTGGGCAAGTTTATGCATTTTGCATTTTATTTGAAATTATTATGTCGCGTCGCAATGGCAGCTCCACCACTTCCTCATGCTACTCCCCCTTTCCCCTCTGAGTCCTTGGCCTTTTGTCAGGAGGCATGCAAGAATGCGCTCAATTCTCTGGAAAAAAAACCCCTCGCTTCCTCGCTTTTTGACAAAAGTGGAAAGTTGATACCCTAACAAAAGAAGCCGTTTGCCAACTGGCGGTTTATTTGCCTTGCCGAGGCTTTGAAGGGTATTTAAATAGGAAAAATACACATAATTCCTTTGTAAGTTTGTTAGTAAAAAGAAAACTGTCTAGAAAAAGGATTTTTGATAGTCTGTTTGCCTGCAGACATTTTTAAGGATTACTCATTATTTGCTTGAGAGAGATTTAAAAGGGTAAATCATAGATCACTTTATAAACTGAAAATGTTATGAAACATTTTATTGCAACAAACTAAAGACCTAACTTAAATTCCTAAAATAAAACTTAAATATTTGTATTTTATTTTTTACTATTAAAATATTTATATTAAAATTTAAATTATTTGATTTAAAATCGTTTTACTTAAGAATTAACTTAAAAGCCCTAAAAGAAAACCCACTTATTTATTCAAAGACTTTTGGCTAATAAAAATATATATTCCTATTTATAACATAGTGTGTTCAGGGGCTTAGAAGTTGCCCTTTCAATTCATTCTTTTTCCTGCCATAATTTTTCATTGTCGGTCTGTGTGTCTGGTTGGTTGGTTGGTTGGTGGCCCCTGGGCTCCTGCTTGAATTATGCGGCTGGGTCCTGCCCCTTTTTTTGTGTCCTTTTGTCTGCACCTTTTTCACCGCTTCCGCTTTCTCACAACCCTGACTCCATTCCTTCTTTTTTTCTTGTATTTTTGCAGGTTAAATACGAGGGACGCACTCTCTACTTGACCTGTGTTTGCATGAGCTGTTTGGACGGAACCTCCAGCAGCCGCGTCATCAACTGCAGGTGAGCATCATCAAAAAGGGGGAAAAATCTTTGAAATAAATGCATAAATAAATGATAAATTTGCGTTTTCCGCATCGTTTACAGATTCTGCAAGGAGCCGTGGGATGGCTCGAGCCTGGTCTTGGGCACCATGTACGCCTACGACATCTTTGCGGCCATGCCCTGCTGTTCCGAGAGGTTCAAGGTGAGTTTATAGCACAATAATATTTTTATAAGGTTTTTTAAGGAACCTAAAAATAGCTTACTTTGGCTATAACAGAGATAATTTGATATATTCTTAGGGAAAAATACACCTTTCAATATATAACTTCCTAAAATCATATTTAACTGATGAAACAGTATTCTTGATTTTTTAAAAAATTTCAATAAATTGGTTATAATTTGCATGAAATTAATTTTAATTTCCCCCCTTTCCCTCTTGTTTTCCTCCCTTTGCAGTGCAATAACTGCTTCAAAATGCTGATGCATCCGCAGCAGCGTCTGAGCTTCTACAGTGACTACTCGCACGGGGTGACCTGTCCGTACTGCAACACGCAGGACACGCACTTCGTGAAGCCGCTGAGCTTCTGCTACGCCAAGAGCCCGGCGACGCGGCTGCCGACGCTCGCATAACATGAGGCCCCGTTGGAGTCGCCCGTGGGAACAGGTGCCACCGCCACTCAGGTGCCAAATGCCCAGGGCGCTCCAACGGCCTCCGGCTGCAGCAATGCGAACAAGCAGCAACAGCCACCGAAACAGCCGCTCTACAATGCCGCCATCGATTATTCGGCACCGCTGCAGCAGCAAATTAATCCGGACTTGATTGGAGCCCATCCGCATGCCCAGCAGCATCAGCAGCAGGTGCGACAGCAGCAGCAGCAGCAGCAACCACAACAACAGCAGCAGCAGCAACAGCAGCAGCAGACTCAACAGCAACAGTCGCAACAGCAACACACGCCTGCGGTCAGCAGTTTTCAGAGGGCCAACTTCCCTCAGCAGTCGCATAAAAGCAACATGAACATGATGGCCATGGCAGATGTAATGAGCAAGTACCAGCAACAACAGCAGCAACATCGCCAGCAGCAGCAGCCACAGCAGCAGCAACATGCAACGCAGAAAGGACTCGAGGGGCTTCTATTGACCAACAGCAACACAACAAACACAAACAACAGCAACAGCAGCAGCAGCAGTATTAGTAACTTAATCATTAGCCATAATTCAGCCAGCAATCCAGGCAGCAAAATGCAGCAACAGCAACAGCAACAACAAACCACCAGCACTTGGGGCCAAAGTGATGCCATTTCGGCTCTGTGGGGCTGTTCCAGCAGCAGCAGCGGTTGCTCCTCGGGCAGCGGATCGCAGCCCTCGTTGAGTCCGACGGCCAGCAGTCATGGCAACGATGGCTCCAAGATGATGTTGTGGGCGGCGGCCCAGAGTTCGCCACAAAATGCAGCAGCAGCAGCAACACTCAGGGATGGATTCAAGGAGTTGCAACAGCAGCAGCAGCAGCAGCAAGTGCACCCTGCCCACGCAGCCTCGCCCACAGCTTCGCTGACTAGTTCCAGTTCCTCGTCGAACGGATGGAGTGGCTCGCATTATGGCAAGCCCAATATCTGGGAACTGCCGGGACAGAGGACTCCGGCCAGCAGCCACGACATCTTCACCGATCTCCTGTGCAACCTGAGCATCAGTCAGGAAAATAGCAGCAGTCAGCTGGCCAAAGTCGATGCCTCTGCCTCCGACGTCAGCTCGAATTCCTCCTCCTCGGCTGGGGAACTCCTGGAGGCCGCGAATATCTGGAGGTTTCCGGAATACGCCAGTCAGCTGTACAACGAGGAGCCCACTGGTGGCGCCGCCGCCTGCATGCAGCTCTTCAACGACTATCTCAGCATGAACTAAAAACAAAACAAAAGCCTGCAGCATTTGTTACTCTAGCTAAATTTATACAAAAAAAAAAAGAATAACGTGAGAAAAGAGTAAGCAGGAGAAAGAAGGAGGAGAAGCAAATGTTTTAGTTTTTAAAATCATTTGATTTTTTATATACAATCACACCACAACAACCAACACACATCTGAAAACCGAGAGAAAACAATGCAAACTAAAAACAATTTTCTTGTTATTTTTGTTGAGTTTTTTTTAGTTCTTTGTTTACACACCTACCTAAACAAAAAAAAAAGAAGCAATTTTTAGTTTTATTTTATAAAGCAAATTTGTTTATACATTTTACCAAAAAAAAAACAAAGCGAAATGTAAAACAAAAAAAAAAGGAAAACGAGGAAAGAGGGACAAAAAACGAAACATTTACATCACGATTGAGGGAAAAGTTTTTATTTAGCAAAAATTGAAGGCAGGGCATTAAATTGTTTAAACAAATCATGATAATTGCTGTGCTGCTCAATAACACAAAACAAAAAAGGATAAAAAGCAAAACGGAGAAGTAGGAGAGTAGAGTAGGAGAGTATAAACAAAAACGAGAAGGGGAGAACATGAAACATTTGCTACAATTTATGAAACCTAAAATTACACAAACCTAAATTTAACAAAACAACATAAACGATAAGTTGCACATCTTTACCTAAGCGATTGGTAATTATTCCTAGTTTTAGTAAGCGAAACGAGAACCTCTAGAACCAATTAAGTTTCTCTCTCCAGTTCAGAACAGTTCAGTTAGGTCCTCAAAGTAATTCAACCCCCAACACAACGCCCACACACCCAAACGCCTCACACACACACACACACACACACACACATAGCAGCCAGGCGGCACATGCAACAAGGTCATCACCATTACCACCCCCTTTCAGGAGTATTTCAAGCAGTCCACCCCCACCCACGCCCCCCAAACTCTCCTAGTTAAGTCCTCAAAAAAAAAATAAGAAAATATTATATAACTACTTTCGGCGCAGCGTGATCATTAATTATTAAGCATAAGTGTTAGGTTATAGCGATCTTCTTTGTATATGTCTAGGGTTCTTCTCTTTGTCTTAAAATAGCAGAGCAGCCGTATGTGATGGATCTCTAAAGGTAGAGTGACGACCCCGCAGGTGCGAACCAAAAAACACATGCAGGCACTCACTATCGATAGGTTTAGTAGGTTGTAAGGTCGATTTTTTCTAAATTTTAAATATGGTATGCAAGCAAACATCCAACAATTTATAGAGCGGTTCAATGTTTCCTGTTTTGTGTTTACTCCGTGCTTAGAAAAGTCACCAAAACCCTGGGGTAAAAGTCCTTCCCAATCTCCTTGTTCCCCTATATCCACTCGAAATTGTGAAATTTTAATCGAATTAAAATAAAAAATTCCCCTTGTGAAAATGTTTAGGCAGCCTGAACTTTAAATTGTCTTATAATAATTTCTATGCACTATCTGTGAAATTTTTAATTCAATTGAAAATAAAAACCCATTTGATATGTCCCCTATCTGTGAACCAAAATTTTCAACACCTCTTCATTTGTTTTATCCCCTCCTCTACTCATTTTCTATTTTTTTTTAAACCCTGTGAAGATTTTAATAAAATTAAAAGTAAAACCAACTTGATAATATCCCCACTGTGAAAGGACTTTAGGCAACCTAAACCTTGAAAAACAATTTTCAAAAATTCTGTGAAAATTTTAATAAAATTGAAAGTAAAAACCCATTTGATATGACCCCCCATCTGTGACACCCAGTTTAAAACAGCAGAAACTCTCTGAATCTGTGTTCAAATTTCCTTTTTTTTTTGTAATTATTTTCCAATTTTAAATTCTGTGAAAATTTTAATGAAATTAAAAATAAAAACCCTTTTGATATGACCCCTATCTGTGAAAAAAGAAGTTTGGGCCAGCTAAACCTTTAAAAAATCAGCAGAAACTGTGTTCGATTTTCCAATTACGGTTCTCTTTTTTTCTTATTTTAAAATTGTGTAATAAAATTAAAAGTAAAACCCCCACTTCTGTGAGAAAATGTTTAGGCAGCCTAAGCTCAAAAATCGAACAGCAGAAACTGTGTTATATAAAGCCCATTCCCCAAAACCCTTGCGTTCGTTACGAACCCTAAAGTTTAGAGCGCGTAAGTTTCGTCAAATCATCTGTGAACAGAGTGTTGGGTCTTCCTCAAAAAGTTTTTTATTCCGAAAAACAGATATTGGTGAGAAGACTCGACACTTTTAAAAAACCTTCACTGTGAGTGTTCGAAAGGAACGAAATTTTTATGAAAAATTCTAAAACCACACCAAATTGTGACTAGGCCAGGCCCCAAAAGAAACCCTTGTGAAACCAAGTTGAAAACAAACATTTTCAGAAAATGTCTAAACCCACACCCAAACCAAAATTGCCTCCTTTAAGACAGCCAATCTGTGACAATCCCCACTTTGCTCATGTCCCTGTGAATTGCCCTTTGAAAGGATAAACAATTTTTGAGAAAAATTTAAAACCCCAACCCCGAAAGCAATTGTGAATGCTCCTAGATTAAGCGAGTTTCTCTCTTTTGTTTCCATTACTTTGGATAGTTTTCAGCAGTGTGATATTATTCGGATATATATTTCTGTGTTTCGATCAAGGCATTGCCTGGAATTTTTTCAAAAAGAATTCAAAACCACATCCTCAAATATCTGTGAATAACCCTCCCTTAAATCTCTTCCCTATAAAACCTCTTTTATCCCCCTTTGGTGACTTTTGGTGAGGGATCTGCTTGAAATACAAAACCCTGGGGATCAGAAATGGGATTCTACAACTTGCATGTGCTGCAGTTTTTTCAGTAATCACAAATTGAACGCCTCCTTTTGGGCATTTAGCATTGCCGCCATTTTACATACCAAATATAATACACGTTAATTTAACGACAATTTTTTCAGAACGCATGAAGGGACAAACTGAGTGATAGTAAATTTTTTTTGTATACAAAACTCACAGTAACGAAACGACTTCGTTATGCCTACTTATATAGAACTACCGGTTAAGTTTATAAGTACATACCCTATACCCAATGAAAACCTACACCTAACTAACCTAAACCTAAACCTAAAACCTAAATTGATAGAAACTAACGACAAGCGACACTTTTTGGCATTTACTTGAGAGGATTATATATAAGTTTGGCACAGTTATATATAATTTTCGTCTAAATTTAAGGTTTTAATCTAATATACGCGAAGGAGAGGAAGTGAACTTATTTATAGGCAAACCCCACACACACACACTCAAAAAACATGACACACAACACACACAGATACAGCATATAGTTATATAGATATTTAATTGGAGTAACCTTTAGCCCTTACACTACACTACACTACAAATTATATTGGTAATAAGTTCTACGCAAGCTAAATCTGCCTTTTTTGAAAGAGAAGAAAAAGGCAGTAGCACCCGCACCACCAACTACTACGTAAGTCAGCCCGTGTTTTAGTTTGATTCAGTGTTTGTTTTAGTTAAATGTGCTAGGACAAAGCCTCTTCGGCGTCCAGTCGAGAAATAAATAAAGAGAAACCACAAACTTATGCCCACCTCAGCCACCAAGAAGAAGATGGAAGGAATCGAATTATGTAGAGCGCCCCTAAAACAGTAATAGTCAGACTTCCGATCACAACTAACTCTAATGAATCGTAAACCCTAGACGGCAAATGAATAACATAGTAGAAGTCTTTAAGTAATGACGACGATGAGATGGCGATTGAGCGAGAGAGTAAAACACATTAAAATGTAATTTATATTACCTCCTTAGCAAAAATCAATAACAAATAACGAATAACAAAAAACAAATAACAATGTTTTCTAAATGCATATTAAACTATGATAAATCAAGGCAAAAGTAAAACAAAATATGTACGTTTAAATCAAGTAATCAATTTATAAACAATTAAAAGCAGTTTTTGTTTAGTTCATAATTTCTACTCAATAAAAGAAAAACACACTTTTATATATTTTATGTTAAACGAATGAAATATTTGCGCGCCTTTCCCCCCTTTTTTAATCTTTTGACGATCTTCAGTTACTGTGGAACATGCCAAAACCCGTGTAGCAGCAGCAAAATGTTTAAACTTTAACCGAAATTCTTAAAAACCAATTTTTGATAGCTCCCTCCGAGCTTTCTCAGATCATCTGATGACGAAATGTACAAATTGGTGAAGTTTAGGCACTTTCAACCGCGATCCTCCTCCGATTTCCCAATACCAAGGCAATATAAAGCGCAGCAGATATTTCCGAAATTATACTCCCAAAAAAAAAATAAACCCACTCTGTAATCCCCCCTCGACCCATCCCCCAAATTTATAGATTGATTTTATTTCCCACCCGATTGTAATTTTTGTTTAATTAAATATACACACTTAGCACACTTTTGTTTATGCCTAATTCGTAATGTGTAATATATGTATACTTTGTACCTTTTTATGTTATACACAAAAGTCCTTATAATCCCCCAACCCCACAAGGAATACAATCCTCGCCCAGTGTTTTAAATCCCCTTCCCCGTCTCCAACCCCTACGCTCCTCCTCTCCTACACATTTTGGCAATTCAACTTGAATGTCTACTTTTAATGTAATTTAGTTGAATATTTTAGTTGATTTTTATTATTATTATTCGTACTCCGTATGGAAAACTAAATAAATTTAATTGTATTTCAAATAAAAAACAAAAAAATGAAAAAAGGACAAAAATTACATTACTTTCTGCTATTATTATTACTACAATTAATATTGAATTTTTGTTGAATTTTCAAATGATTAAATGAAATATTTTTAATAATTTGTCTTTTGGTTTTATTTACTCCCCAACTTTATTTGGTACCCTATATATTTTTTTCGGTTGCAACTGCATTGATAAAGAAGATAAAAACTTAAATGCCGGACGACAAACTGCCGACTAGAAGAAAGAGCAGAAACATGAAACCTTTACCGAAATGTATTGCTTAGCATCTGGTAGGAAACGACTACCCAACGACTTTGGTTCCCGATCCAGTTTCCTCCGATCGCTACTTAGTTTAGCAGCTACCTCAGTTTAGTCACATCGATAGAGTCTAGAATTAGACGAAACACCAGTACATATATTTTACTCGACGTAGGAACATGTTAATCGCAGCTTTTAAAACAGAAGATATAGCTTAGAACACCCCAGAGTTGTATGTGCGGATTATGCAACGATTTATTTAGAATCCCCCTTTCCCAGTCAAGTCCCCCGATTTTTGGATTATACCC